AGTAGAGACAGGATTTTTCCATGTTGGCCAGGCTGGTCTTGAACTCCTGACCTCAGGTGATCCACCCGCCCTGGCCTCCCATAGTGCTGGGATTACTGGTGTGAGCCACCATGCCCGGCCATAAATAAATATCTTAAAGGGACATACAGCACAATACCTACTTTTTTTTTTTTTTTTTTTTGAGACGGAGTCTCGCTCTGTCGCCCAGGCTGGAGTGCAGTGGTGCGATCTCGGCTCACTGCAGCTCCGCCTCCTGGGTTCATGCCATTCTCCTGACTCAGCCTCCTGACTAGCTGGGACTACAGGCGCCCGCCACCACGCCCAGCTAATTTTTTTGGTACAATACCTACTTTTTAAGAACATATGCTAACAAAAGATACACAACAAGCACATCAGAATGGTTATCTATAGGGGAAAAGGTGACTACAGTGGGACATTTCCATAAAGGGGAGTTTTTAAAAATATGATAAATAGCACAAATAAAATGGTAGAAGAAGTCCACATATCATAGTAATGTTAATAATTATAATATATAAATCAGTTTCAATTAAAATCATAATTATAATGATATTATAATAATACATTTGAATTGACCAAACTTGCCAGTTAAAAGACTATCAGGTTATCAGGTTAGATTTTTAAAATCCAGCTTATAATTTACAAGAAACATAGTCAAAACCTAAACACACAGAAAAGCTGAAGGTAAAAGTTTAGAAAAAGTTATGCCAAGCACAAACCTAGCAAAAGATATTGAAAGATGTTACTGGTAGATAAAATAGACTTGAAAACAAATAAAATATTAAGGACAAATAGAGTCACTATACAAGAATAAATTTTCACTGTCCTAGTGAAGTACGTATAATTTTGAGTAAGTAAGGCTATATATGATTTGAGCAACATAATTAACAAACTTGACCTAATGGACATATATTCATCCACTACATAACTCTGCATACAACAAGCATAGAATAAACCTTGTTTTCAAGCTTACATGGAACATAATATAAACCTGATCATATACTAGACAATAAATATCTTAACCAATTTTTTAAAATTGAAAAATACAGACCATTTTCCAGACTAAAAGTAAGTTATAAATTAATAATGAAAAGGCAACTAGAAAACCTCTGTATGTCTGGAAATTAAGAAAGTATATACTTCTCAAAGAAGAATCCTAAAATAACTTAGGAAATATTTAGAAGTAAACAACAAAAAATATTATATGGTAAAACCTGGGTAATACCCAGATAGGGTTCAGATAAATTTATAGCCTTAAATGTTTCTACTAGGGGAAAAAAACCACAAAAATAAAAAAAAACTGAAATCTTCAGGTTTAGATGGCTCCATTAGTGAGTTTCATCAAAAATTTACAAAGAAAATAACTCCAATCTTGAACAAGCTCTTCCAAAAATATAAAAAGAGAGAATGCTCCTCCATTTTGTAAGAATCGCACACTGGGTGATAAAAACAACAAAACAAAAATAACCCCAAATCAAGGGAAGTTATAGGAGAGTTTCACTCAAAAACATAGCCAAAATCTAAACGAAATATTAGCAAACAAAATCCAGCAGTGTATTCAAACAATGGCCAACTCAGATTTATTCTGGGAAGGTAAAGATGATGTTAAAAAACACTTAATGTAATTCACTACGATAATAGAATAAAGAAAAAGTCTTTGATCATCAATAGAGAAAATCATATAATCACCTCAATACAGAAAAAGTCTTTGATAAAAGTCAGCATCCATTCATGACAAAAAGAAAGCATTTTTTATTTCTAGCAAACTAGAAATAAAAGGGAACCTCTTAAACCTGATAAATAGTTTATACAAAACCTACATCAAATAACATACTAAATGAATGCCGAAAGCATTCTCTGTGGGATTAGTAATAACACAAAAATGCCTTTAAACCACTTCTATTGAGCATTGCACCGGAGGGGCTAGCCAGCATAGTAAGACACCCGCCCACCCTGCAAAAAGTATGATTAATTTTCAAAAGTATAAGGTACGGAAGGGAAGACACAAAGCAGTCATTATTTGCCGGTTATATAATTATTCATAGAAAATTCAAAAGAATCTGAGTATAAAGTACCAGAATTAACAAACAATTTAAGCAAGATGACTGCCTAGATAGTGGACTAAAATACAAAAACTATTTGCATTTCCATACACTAGTAACAAACTGTTAAGAAATATAATTCAGAAAATATTCCATTTGCATTACAGCATATGCTTACCAAAACACATCGAACTGTACACTTAAAGTAGGTGTGTTTTATTACATGTAAAGTATATCTTAAATAGCTGTAGGAAAAAGGACACTACTGACACTTTTTGTAACAGCAATTACAAATGTCAAGTGACATAAGAGTTAATCTAATATATAAAGACTTTTCTGGGGAACAATGATAAAACTTTACTTAAAGCTATAAAAAGATATTTAAATAAATGCAAAGACACATTCGTAGAATGAAAGCTTTAAAACCAGAAGGATGTCAGTTCTTCCCAATTTGATCTTTAGATTCAGTGAATCTCTGATCAAAAATCTCAACAAAATTTTATGAGGAACTCAGTAAGATGAGTCTAAACTTTATATGAAAGAGCAAAGAGCTAGTAACAGACAAGACACTCAGAAAAAGTAGATAACTTAGTCCCTTATGGTAATTGACACAGTGAGATATTGGCATAGGGATAGGCAATTCGACCAAAGGAGCAGAATAAAGAACCCAGAAGCCAGCCTGTGCATATTTGGAAACTTCATTTTTTACAATGGTGGCATTGTAGTCAGTGGGGAAATGATGGATTATCTATTGAATGACCCTGAGACAAGTTATTATTCAAATGCACAAAGCGAGGGGCTGGGGAAGAGAACTGGATATTCTACATCACATCACACACAAAAATCCATTCCAAATGAATTAAAGACATATGTGAAAAGGCCATCTTTAAAACCTAAAGAAAAAAGTAAGGAGAAAACCACTATAATGTTGAGACAGGCAAGGAAAAACACGAATAAAAAGGAAAAAGGTTAACAGATTTAACAAAAAAATTGGATTATAGGCAACAGATAAACTGTGCTATGGAACACTATGTAGGGGTGGAGGACATCCTTTTTCCCAACAAGAAGAAAGCAATGAGAAACTACAGGAAAAACAACAACAACTGTACAAGAAAATCAATCCAGTTAAAAATTCAATAGGAATGATTTTCAGCAATCAATGGTAAGTAAGAAAGAAAAGCCCAGTGAACTCCAAAGACAGAGTAACTGCACAAAAGGATCCACAGAATCGCAGCATACTATGTGACTGTGTAATGAAGGATACTACCTGTAAATGTCATTATTTGGTTTTATTAGATTTAACCCTTGATCAATCTCAGAAGACTTAGTTATGGTTATCGAAGAGAACAGAAATATTTATCAGCTTTGACAACATAAAAATAAGGGCACAGATGGCAGATGTTAGGAGGCAAAGGAAAAGTAGACAGAAGATGCTAATTTTCTCAGTTTACAAAGTGGAAGTCAAAAAGAAGTTATAAGAAACAGAGTTTTTAAAATATTATTTAAAATTAAAAAGGTAACCAACTTAAAAATGGTGATATAACCATGAAAAACCGGGATAGGTTGGTATGTAAAGTTAAAAATGAGGCTGATTCCTTACACCACAAAAATAAAGTCAATAATGTCTAAAATTGGCTGGGCGCAGTGGCTCATGCCTGTAATTCCAGCACTTTGGGAGGCTGAGGCAGGTGGATCACTTGAACCCAGAGTTCAAGACCAGCCTAGGCAACATAGCGAAACACCATCTCTACCAAAAATTAAAAAACAATTAGCTGAGCATGGTGGTCTGCACCTATAGTCTTAGCTACTTGTGAGGCTGAAGTGGGAGGATTGCTTGAACCTGGGAGGCGGAGGCTACAGTGAGCTGAGATCACACCACTGCACTCCAGACTGGGTGACAAAGCGAGACCCTGTCTCAAAAAATAATAATGATAACAATGTCTAAAACAGATAAGTCAAGAAATAGTGCTCCAAACATATTATTTAGAAATATAGAGATAACTATTAGTAGATTTAAAACCCAAAGGACAGTGAAGTGTGGGAGGGTATGTTGCATTCATTATAAGCTCTTGTGTGACTGAATTTTTAATTCACATGCATGGGTTATTTTAATAAATATAAACAGATTTCTAAATAATTGAAAGAAAAAAGGAAAAAGATCAAGATTCTCTAGAGTTCATTTAGTCAAACACCTTCCATCAGGGAGGTGAAAGAAAATGAATGCCCACTCCAACAGAAAAACTTCTAAACATCTGATAAAGATTCGTGATCCAAAACCCTACCAAATTTATTCCTCAGGGAAGCATATTATCATCATTTAATTCAGAGTGAAGAAAGTAGTTTACAGGCTGAATCTCCTTCACTGTTTCTCTTCCTCCCTACTTTCCTTTCTCTATTTCTCAACTTTATTGTTCTCCTCTAGCTTTGCTTTACTTAGCATGAATATTCAAACTAAATACATACAAATAAATACATACAAAATACCAGTTTTATTTGTAGAATATAGTCTTATGTTTCCTAATTTTCTCTCAATACAAAAAGAGCAAATTAAGTTGATTTTCATTTCCACGTTGTCTACATTAACTTAAAAGTCTCTACGGGCATTACTGCTGTAGAGAAAAAGATCTCTACCACCGATTTAAGGAATGAACCCAAAACCACAAAAGGCAACCCACCTAAAACCAGAACAATAATTACTCTTCAATGGGTTTCTGGAGGCTGCCATATTACTTAGGCTTCAGGAATCAGGAGCTAGGTTTCCACGTGGACACTTAAGGTGATTTACAGAGAATAAAGCTTGACGTCTAAGTTCCCCCAAAAGAAAATAAAAACCCAAAAAGTTCAATGTTCATGTTAAGTGATGTCTAGTTTTGATCCACAGGAATTTCACAAGACCCCCATTTCAGTGTGATCCACAGGCACTTCCAGGGGTATACTTACACTATATGTGCAAGGTCAAGTGGTTTCTCTGGTTGCTCAGGAAAAACAGGATGCGGGGGTTCTCTCGTGGGTACACACCCCAAAGATTTACTAATTGCATGGCTCAGCTTCTTTGCAGGAGATTTCTGTGTCAAAGTAGAAAACAGTAAGGAATTAATTCTTCAAAAGAATGAAAGGAACTTCAAAAAAAAAAAAAAAAAACAACTTTGTGACAAGAGTGTAAAAACATCTTTTCAAATGCAAATCAAGTTTCATTATTGTCAACATCATTGGGCCTTGCAGAAAGGAACCTCCAGTTGTCCCAAGGTCATCTGTGGTCCTTCATTTCTGCAGTTCCTCCTTCATGTTTACTATAAAGTCACACTATCAAGTAATGTCAACTTTCCTTCTGGACATCTCTGTGTACTCTTGGCAAGAACTCCCTCCTTTGATGCTTCTAGATCATTTTTGCTAAGATGTTAAAGTTATTTCCCTGACCAGAGTCAGAACTTTTTGATGGAGGCCAGGCGTGGTGGCTCATACCTGTAATCCCAACGCTTTGGAAGGCTGAGGCGGGTGGATCACCTGAGGTCGGGAGTTCGAGACTAGCCCGACCAACATGTTGAAACCACGTCTCTACTAAAAATACTAAATTAACCAGGCATGGTGGTGCGAGCCTATAATCCCAGCTACATGGGAGGCTGAGGCAGGAAAATTGCTTGAACCTGGGAGGCGGAGGTTGCAGTGAGCCAAGATCACGCCATTGTACTTCAGCTTGGGCAACAAGAGCAAAACTCTGTCTCAAAAAAAAAAAAGAACTTTTTGATGGGCTACAATACTAAAAGGCTAAGAGCACACAGCTTATGGATGTTAGCAAATTAGCTAAGTTACAACCCCAAGATGTTAGGATATTCCCAAATAAACATGAGCCAGAACATTTGATATTAAGGGTCTGGTTATGTAGTTGGATACAGAGTACGTTCATAATATGCAGACCCAGGACTCTACATTACGATATATAAAGCTACAAAAATAAGTTGGCATACAATACATTCTTCTGGAAGGTAGAATAATACCCACCAAAGACTACCAAATCTAAGAGTCAATCATAAATATGCACAAAAGTAAACAACATGCCACAATCAGGTTAAATAGAACATTCACTTCTTTTTTCTTTTCTTTTTTTTTGAGATGGAGTCTTGTTCTGTTGCCCAGGCTGGAAAGCAATGGTGTGATCTCGGCTCACTGCAACTCCACCTCCCAGGTTCAAGCAATTCTCCTGTCTCAGTCTCCCAAGTAGCTGGGATTACAGGCGCCCACCACCATGCCCGGCTAATTTTTGTATTTTTAGAAGAGACAGGGTTTCACCATGTTGGTCAGGCTGGTCTCGAACTCCAGACCTCAGGTGATCCACCTGCCTCAGCCTCCCAAAGTGCTGGGATTACAGGTGTGAGCCACCACACCCAGCCTAGAACCTTCACTTCTAAAACTCATATTTAAAGAAGGCTCCTTTTTTTTTTTTTTTTGGAGACAGAGTCTGTCTCTGCGGCCCAGGCTGGAGTGCAGTGGCCGGATCTCAGCTCACTGCAAGCTCCGAGGAGGCTCCTTTTATACAGATTATACTGTCCACCCAATTCCCCTAAAATAACACTGTTATCTGAGATTTTCTTGGCAGGATATTAACTGTAATAAAGTTTAACTATTTCATTCTGCTGCCTCTGCAGTTTATTATCATATGTGCCACTTAAATTGGAAAATAAAACATGGTTGCAGTTGTCTGCCTCATCAATGCCACGTCCCCACTAGACTTCTATACGCTGCTTGCTGTAGTATTTTAACACAAAATAAACAAAAATCTGTGTGCCTGTAAGACCATACAGGCACAGTTAATGAAAACTTATAATAAAGACTCAATAATACAATTTTTTCAGAAACTTTGTATATTGGCTCCAAATCACCTACTACTATTCCCTTCAACACATTAAATTCTGGGAAAACTTGGTCAGGCACAGTGGCTCGCTCCTATAATCCCAGCACTTTGGGAGGCAGAGGCAGGTGCATCACTTGAGCCCAGGAGTTTGAGATCAGCCTAAGCAACATGGCGAAACCCTGTCTCTACAAAAAGTATCAAAAAAATTAGTTGGTGCGGTGGCATGTACCTGTAATCCCAGTTACTCGGGAAGCTGAGGTGGGAGGATCACTTCAGCCTGGGTTGTCGAGGCTGCAGTGAGCTGAGATTGTGCCAACTGCACTCCACCCTGGGCGACAGAGTAAGACCCTGTTCCCCCTCCCCCCAAAAAAAAATTCTGGGAAAAGTCTACATGTAACCTAATTTCCTGAAAGTATATAAAGCGAAACATAGCAGAAATTCTCAACTTCTCCCCTAACTTCTTTCCATTTTCCTTTTGCCCATCAAGAAGTCATGATGTGACGCTGATTCTTCCCGCACAACAACAGTTTCTGCACTGCCCCCAGAGATCATGTCACCCTTCTGCTTAACACCCTTCAAAGGCTGATAGTCACTTACAGAATGAGATCTAAATAAATGCCTTCATTTTCCATACAAAAGCTTTCACACCTGACTCCTGCCTCTCTCTCTTTCCACTTCCCACTCACGTAAATGATGAGCCGCTCACAGTTAACTCAATATACACTGTGCTCTTTTAGGTCTCTGTATCTTGGCACATGCCTTTTCCAGCTCTCCCTTTCCCAATCTATCTTTCTGTACATTTTTTGCTCATCTCTCAAGCCTGCTGGTCAACATCCCTTCCTCTGTGAAAACTTTCCTCACTGCTCCATACGACAGCAAGTGCCTTTCCAGGCTACCCATTTACCTGTACCTATTTCCACTGTTGCACTTACCATGCTATACTGCTGCTATACTGCAATTTTTATTTTTATTTATTTATGTATTTATTTGAGACAGAGTCTCGATCTGTCACCAGGCTAGAATGCAGTGGCGCGATCTCGGCTCACTGCAACCACTGCCTCCCAGGTTCAAGCGATTCTTCTGCCTCAGCCTCCCGATTCGCTGGGACTACAGGTGCATGCCACCACGCCTGGCTAATTTTTGTATTTTTAGTAGATATGGGGTTTCACCACGTTGGCCAGGATGGTCTTGAACTCCTGACTTCGCGAACCGCTCGCCTCAGTCTCCCAAAGTGCTGGGATTACAGGCATAAGCCACCACGCCCAGCTCCATACTGCAGTTTTTGTTTGTCCATCTCTGTTATACTGCTGCTTCTGAGGGTAGGATTTACATCTTATTCATCTTTGTATTTGAACAAATTATTTACCTAGATGAATTTTCCAGATTGCTTTTACCTACCTAGTAAAACCATATAAATCTTTTTTTATTTTTTGAGGATTACAAGTAGAGGCAATCAGAGGATATCAAAGAGAACACCTTACTTTCACCTTTATAAGGAAACACTACATCTGTCATCCATGTATTAATTTCATGATTTTTTGCTGTATCGGCCATTAATTCATGTAATGTATGTGAAACGTATTACCACACAGACTACTTTAGCTCCATCCTAAAAATAATAGCCATGAAATAGAAAAGTAAAATCAATACATCAAGATGAATTCCAAATAATTAAAGCACACCAAGGGAAGCCTGGTATGTATGGGAAGAAAAAAAACCTGAAGTAAAGACATGTAATTGGAGTATTAACTAAGGCCTAAAAAGGATACTACCTTACAAATTTTAAAACTATGTATCCAATCAGGTTGTCTAAACACATAAATAAGTGATTTCCTTAAAAGATCTCAGAGTATGACTTGGACCTGAAGTGAAGTTTGATAATGAGTTAGTTTAGGAGGCTACTATAACAAAGTCTCTAAGCAAGAGTTTGAAAAATGCTGTGTCAAGACAGGGGCATTAGCTCTTCTGTCCAGTCAGCTCCTAAGATGAAGCCCCAGACTCGAGAATCGACAACTAAAAATTTAAGGAAGCAAAGAGGGCGCGAGGGCAGAAGAAGAACACGACACGTGCAGGACCTGGAGTCTCCTCCACTTCATTTAAGCTCCTATATCAGAGACACTCTTTGAGGTCTCGGTACTTTCTCCCAACTTGCACTCTAAAACTGATTTAATGGAGAGTTCTTAACATAGAAAGTTAAATCTTCTCTAAATACTCTTAGGCAATGATTTCAAATAGGATATTGTGTTTTCAATATAGTAATCCACTTTACCAAATTTCAAAACATTTCCTATCCTTTCTTAAAAATACTACAGGTTATATTTTTTAAATATACCAGGCTGGGCATGGTGGCTCACGCCTATAATACCAGCACTTTGGGAGGTCAAGGTGGGAGGATTACCTGAGGCCAGGAATTCATGATCAGCCTGGGCAACATAGTAAGACTCCATCTCAAAAAGAAAAAAAAAAATCCAAACATTAGCCAGGTGTGATGGCACATGCTTGTAGTCCTAGCAACTCAGGAGGCTGAGGCGAGAGGATCGCTTGAGTCCAGGAGTCTGAGGCTGCAGTGAGCTACGACAGTGCTACTGTATTCCAGCCTAGGTGACAGAGTGAGACCCTGTTTCTAAATATACATATCTATACACACACCAAAGAGTATAAAATGTGTACAGTGTTTTTTTTTAGACAGAGTTTCGCTCTTGTTGCCCAGTCTGAAGTGCAATGGCGTGATCTCGGCTCACTGCATCCTCTGCCTCCTGGATGCAAGCAGTTCTCCTGCCTCAGCCTCCCTAGTAGCTGAGACTACAGGAATACGCCACCACACGCGGCTAATTTTTGTATTTTTAGTAGAGACGGGGTTGGTCAGGCTGGCCTCAAACTCCTGACCTCAGGTGATCCACCCACCTCAGCCTCCCAAAGTGCTGGGATTACAGGCATGAGCCACCACACCCAGCTGTACAGTTTTAAAAGTTATAAAACAAATACCTACCTACCCACTATTCTGCCTGTGAAACAGAACATTCATCACTCTGAAGACTCCTTATGGGCCCTCATCCTAATACTATATCCCACTCACACTCTACCCCCTCTTCTCCTGATAATCACTATCCTGGATTTCGTATTAATCATTTCTTTGACTTTATTATCTTAGCAATTACATATAATACATTGTTTAGATATGTATAAAACCTGTATAGCTCTCTATATATTCTTCTG